CTTTATGTAGCTTTTAGCTAGTGCCCTGTTTCTTTTAGCCAGTGCTCTGCTTTATGTAGCTTTTAGCTAGTGTCCTGTTTCTTTTAGCTAGTGCTCTGCTTTATGTAGCTTTTAGCTAGTGTCCTGTTTCTTTTAGCTAGTGCTCTGATTTATGTAGCTTTTAGCTAGTGTCCTGTTTCTTTTAGCTAGTGCTCTGCTTTATGTAGCTTTTAGCTAGTGTCCTGTTTCTTTTAGCTAGTGCTCTGATTTATGTAGCTTTTAGCTAGTGTCCTGTTTCTTTTAGCTAGTGCTCTATTTTATGTAGCTTTTAGCTAGTGCCCTGTTTCTTTTAGCCAGTGCTCTGCTTTATGTAGCTTTTAGCTAGTGTCCTGTTTCTTTTAGCCAGTGCTCTGCTTTATGTAGCTTTTAGCTAGTGTCCTGTTTCTTTTAGTTTTTTTCTTTTTTTTGCTAACGTTTCAATTCCTTACACCTTTTCTTTTGGCTGGTTTTATGCTTTCAGTTAGTGTAGAGATTGTTTTAAGTGTTATTTTTTCCCTTAACGACACATTCAGAACAGTTCAATCAGGACATAAACTAATAAACAATAAAGCTCTAAATAACAAATAAACATCTTGTTTGTCTTTGAGCAGCTTGTTGTTCTCTCGTGTGCTGATCTTCACAAAGATCTGCTGAATTTAACTTTTCTTAACTGAAGTTTCTGCAGACAGCAGGACTTTGTGTTTCTGTCAGCAGAAACAACAATCAGCACGTTTCTTCTGATAACACCTGGATGTTTGGACCCACGCTGACTCCAGGTAACCCCCGGAGGTAACCTGGACTAGAATCAAACCTGCAGCCTGTAAATGTCTCACATCATCAGGTGAATTAACTTCACTTCAGGTGTGGGTTTAAATAAATCAAACAGTTTAACAGGCAGGCACACCTTGGCTCTGTGCGCTCAGGTGACCCTTCAGGTGAACGCAGCTCCACTAACCTGACCCAGGTGGAGCCGACAGAACTCACAGAACCTCTAACCAGAAGAACACGAAGCTTTAAAGGTAAAACAGGTTCTCACCGCGCGCCACTCCAAACCAGCAGCTCCTCTCTGATGACAACGAAGCAAAACAATATGGCGGCGCCCTGGTGTTACGTCGAGTTGGGTCACTAGCCACGCCCCTTTAGGGCGGAGAAAGAAGCCCGCGGCGATGCCACGTAGGAACTGAAATACCTTATTTAAACATCACGTTTCCCAATTTATTCATTTATATTTAGTATTTTTACTAATATTGGTTTGAAACAGCTGGGGGAGTTACAATTAGATCATTTTGGCTCACAATAAAGCAGAATCTAAAAAGCAGCGCTTCTTTCTCCGCCCACAGGGGGGCGGAGCAAGTGGAGACCGGATTTGATTCAACACCAGGCGCCACGTCAACACAGATAGTAAAAACAAGAAGAGGTCTCACTCTGATCGACACATCAAAAACCGCACATCTGCGTCTCATTTGCTAAAGAAATAAAATAAAACTCAAATGTTGAAGCAAGTATCCTCATCAAATTAATTTAAATACAGTTATGAGAAGAAATTCATGATATTTAGTTTCCACGATTCTAATTAAAAGTAAGAGGAGGTATCACTCCGACGCAATTTTAGTTCCAATGCTGGATTTACATTTTGTATATTTATTTGAGCTACAAATGAAACACAAACATTTGAACCTTGAAGTACAGTAACACAAGCTTAATTTCATATTTATTTGATAATCGGATATCTTTCACCCATCAACATATATATGTTAAAGATGGGAAACCCAAATTACTTGACCTTAACCACCGTTCAGAATCCTGATCCAGATCTCATGAGTGTTGGAATGGAGTGGGACCAGTAGATTAGGTTTTTCACCACCGCAGACTAAAGCAGAAAGCTCCTTCCTGTGGACATGGATCCATCTCCTGCTCCATGAACAACCCGTGTTTCAGTCCGATTGTTAATTTGTAAACAAAGGTTAAACCAAATCACCTGCAGCAGGTACCATGGTGAGCTAACAAAGCTAAAGGGTTAGCATCTTTGTGTTTTATTTCCAGGTCAGAACTGAATTTTCTGCAATAAGTAATAAAATCTGATGAAATAAAGACGCAGCTTAAAATGATGCAATACAAATATTTATTATGACAAAAATACAGTCACTAATCCTTGTCATCACTTTAATCATGTGGCATCAGCTCATTGAAAGGACCGACTAGGTTTAAAATTAAAACAGAAAATTTACACAACAAAAGAAACGAGGCCCGTGAAGAAGCAGCTCATCTTCGGCGCTACCCGTCCTTTAAAAAGTAGCTTCCAGGAGCTTGTCTGACCGAGGCGGGTCGCCTGAAACCTTCGGACTGCTCATTCGAATTCAAAAGTTTATTCTGGTGGTTTTCTAATAAAAGAGAGATCTGTATTTGTTGGTTAGTGCAAAGCAGCAAAAGACAGGTCGCCCCACCTCTTCCACCTGCTCGGAGGCAAAGCCTTTCAGGTTTTTGTTTTAAGGCAGCGGAGTGGCGCATGGTCACATGTTGTTAAATCCCATCATGCCTTTCATGTTTCCAGCGGCGCCCTGCTGAAACTGACGCATCATTGACTGAAGACCGGCCATGCCCCCTGAAACACACACACACACACACACACACACACACACACACACACACACACACACACATTACAAACTCCTAAAGATGACTCGTTTTATCAACGCTCCTCTCTCAAACAGCTGATCGTTAACATCAGCCGAAGGCTAACTCATCAAACCCTCTCTTTTTACCAATAAGACAGAAAAACACTGATTCAGACATGAAACCAAAACATTCTGAGAAGTTTATTAAACTATATTATTATATTATTGCCTGTGACACAGATATCCATGAAATACAAAGAGTCAAAGAAAATATATTTATATTGAAGAAACTTGGCATAATACACGATTTTACACTTTATGTCACATAACTGGCATATTTTCTTTTGAACTTGGCTCAGATAAAATGAAACAGGAAGTGACATCAAAGGAGAACTCTTTGAGAAAGAAAACTTCCTGGTTTTTGTTTATTTAAACATTATTATTTAAACTTTGACTCTTCTTCATCTCTCTATGATAGTGATTAAAATAATCTAAAGCAACATTAGATTCTTCTCTACAGTGTGTGTTATTAGCCATTTTAGCAATGCTCTGTTCACATATAGGCTGTGTCCAAAACGGCAGGACGGGTCCTCCGGAGGACCCAGACTCCCCGGTCTCGGTGGGC